ATGTCTAGTTAAATAATCAGAAACTTTAATAATTATTCAAATTATTTAAGAAAATACAATCTCAAATATAAATCAATTGTCCGAGTAAATTAAAAATGTCTAAATTCTAAACAAGTTGACTTTCATTATCGATATCATTTTTAATAGTAAATATACTAATATAATGTATGTCAATATATGGAGTATAATAACATATAGAGAAAATTGCAAAAATGGTCCCTATGCTTGGCAAATTTATGCGATTTTGGTCCAAAACGATACCTTGGTGCACCACTAGTCCAATTTTGGATCTTTTTATTGTTTTTGGTCCCTACACACTTAAAAAGACGATTATGCCATTATAATTTATATTTTTCATTTTTTTAATGCTGAAATACATAAATTAATTTAATTTATATTTATATTTATATTTTATTTGTCTTTTCTCTCTCAAACACACACACATACACAAAATATATCACCCCTAATGGATGCCATCATCACCACCGACTACAACCACCAACAGTTACCACTGTCCGCCACCATCTTTCTTTCCCCGGACCTCGATGAAATTTACCCACCGACACCACCCTTCTGATCGGAGTTGTCCCCACCCAAATACCGCCACAACGATCTTTCAATGAATTGGGTTTTTAGCCGTCACAACCACCGTCACAAAAGATGATGCCATCGTCATTTACCACCATCGCTGTTCTCCACCACTATTCGTCGACAACCACCTCTATCTCCCCCACCCTTAACTTTTCTTCCTTAACGAGACGATCTTTCACCACTGACCATCAAAGCATTGTTCATCGGATTTCTTCCAACTGCCTCTCCCTCCCATAAAACCTAAAGCACCAGACGATCAATGGTTTAAAAAAAGACGAATTCGATTTGAAGGGTTTTATCACCTCCCTCTTCTTCCTCGAGTTTAAATCTATAGATCGATATGTTTAAAGAACAAATCAAGTATGCAGCTCTCGTTTGCAGATCTAGAAACGAACATCTAGAGCTACCAGGGAAGACGAAGAGGTGGTGGTAAGTAGGCAAAGTCGCTTGAATTTACATCTGGGTCACAATCCATCGTCATGGGAGTTTGCTATGGGTAGGAGGTTTTGCATAAGCAGTGGGTGGAGAGAGGCATGTGGGTCTTCGATTATCACGAACGGAGAGAGTCGTTATTGCTTGGATTAGGGTTTGAGAAAGATTGATGAAGATGGGCGGTGGGTTCTGTGGAGATTTGAATATGGAGAAGAAGGGGTTGCTTCTGATTCGTAAACAAATTGCAAATCCAAAATTGGAAAATTTTCATTCACATTTATGTACTAATCAAAACGACTTTAGTTTGGGAAAAAGGATATGGGTAATGGGGATGAAGAACATAATTACAGGAAGGAGAGAGAGAGAGAGAGAGAGAGAGAGAGAGAGAGAGAGAGACGGAAGGGATGAGAGGGGTGGTTTGTTTTTTTTCTTTTTTTTAATTAGAATAATTAGAAAAGAAATTAAATTAAACTAAAAAGAAAATTATTTAAGGGCAGATTTTTCATTTCAGGTGGAGTATAGACCAAAACTACATATAAATGTCAACCATAGGGACCAAAACCACACAAAGTATCCAAAATTGGACTACTGATGCACCACTAAACTTTTTTGGACCAAAACTGCATAAATTTGACAACCACAGGGACCATTTTTGCAATTTTGTCTAACATATATAATGTTTTCAATGAATGTATGTATTCTTTTATAAACAATGTATATTGTTTAATGTATGTCAATTTATATGTTGCATAATTTTATAACACAAAATTCATACATGTAATATTAGGATAATTTTTATACATATAATATTGCATAGTTTTATAGCATAAAACTTATACATATAACATTGGTTCCGTTTTGCGTTTTTTATACCTTTTTTAATTTTTTTTTCATAGATTTCTTCGTTAACAAAGTTGTTAAAATTTAACAAAAAATACATCATTTGCTAAACCATAATACAAGAAGAAAGTTTGTTCACATTTAATCATTGAACTTTTTTGAGATGGAAACAAACTTTCGATTTTGTTCACATTTAATCACTAAACTTTTTTTCATTATCTGTTTGTTACTGGACTATTGAAACTGTTCACATTTTACCCTTATGATAAGGGTAAAATATGAACAGTTTCAATAGTTCAGTGGCAAATAGATAACGAAAAAAAGTTTAGTGACTAAATGTGAACAAAGTCGAAAGTCCATTACCCTTTCAAGTCATTATCCCTTTCGAAAATACAATTCAAAATCGTAAAAGGAGCACACACATACATGCTTACAAACATGGCCCGGCCTCGACATATATTAGATGTATGGCCGCATAATAGGGTGAGCATATTGATCGAACCACTCTTGGACCCGATCGGCTTTGGAGAATATTGTGGACTGTAGCGGACTGGATGAGACTTACCGGGTCCGGGTTTTCCAGTTCTTGGACCGGTACAACTTTACAGGCATACAGTATAACTTGTTAAAACGCGTTTTTAGGTTTGATACAACTCGTTAAAATGAATATGTTGTTGCGTTTGATACGTTACCACTCATTAAAATAAATATTTTTTCGGGTTTGATACGGTACAACTCGTAAAATGAATATGTTTCTGTTTTTTGTGTCCTTTGGACCGATCAAACTTTGATTATTTATACTTTATGCCATTTGTTTGAAGGATTGTAACCTATAATATCAAAAACAACAAAATTATAATGTAAAATCATCTACAAACTATAAATTACACTTTTGAAAAAACCACATATCAATCCGACTTAAAACAAATTAGATATGTTTGTTTAAATAATTTCACTGAATACAAAAGTTTAAATTTTTTGTTGAAAAGCTAAAATATTTCAACTTTGATATCTCATCTTTGAAGGATTGCAATTTATCGAATATAACACTAAAAACAATAAAATTATAGTCTAAAATCATTTACAAACTCTAAATTACACGTTGGAAAAAAAAAAAAAAAACATGTCAATCCGACTTAAAATGAATGAGATATGTTTGTTTAAAGAAATTCACAGAATACAATCTTTTTGTAAAATAAGCTGATCCAAAACCAGTTTTTACGCAGAACCGAGCAGACCGAACCGGTTTTGCTCAGATCGTAGAACCAAGAACCGGTCCGGGGGTTCAAAAATACGGTCCGATGCGGTTCATCTGTCCAGTCCGGCTCACATGTCCAAATGTACACCCCTACCACAGATGCACTTGTCATAAGGGCCCTCAAAATTTTAATTCATCGCCCTTCCGTCAATAATCTATCACTAATTTGTCTCTACCGTGTCCCTATACATCCTTATATGCCATTAATCTATTGCTAATCTAAAACTTTATGGGCCAATATTTGCTTTTTGTATAGACATTCAAAATCAATGAACTGCCTGCATTCATACATATATACATAGCCCCTATGACGGGAGCCTGACGATTGAGGTGTAAATTTCTACAAAAAAAAAATTCAAGTTTCAAACCATTACACCCAAAATATCATTAATGTTCCACGGTTTATCCCACATGATATGCCATGGGACAGTTTCGGCCCGTGAAGAAGTTCTCGCTTACTTTTTCTTTCATACATATATGCATTATGCATACATAAATATTTTATAAATGGATAAGGCCACCTAGGCATAAAAGATATGTTCATGGTGAGTTGGTTTGTTCTACTCAGTATACGGTGCTAGAGAACTAAGGTGATTCAGAATGCAAAATGACATTTCACAGTGTATGCATTGCATTACATTTCATAATAACATGAAAGCATGAAAACATGTTATAGTGTTAAAGTAAAACAAAAGTTTTAGTAAATATTGATAAGTTATAGCTCTGTGTCAAAAGCTATGTAGGTTAAAGAATCTCCTGCCATCAACTTCATGAATAGTAAGGGGTGAGCGCGGTGCGGTTCGGTACGGTTATTAGCCAAAAGTTCATCACTAACCGTAAATACGGTTAATCCATTTTCAAAACCGTTTGGTGCGGTTATTTTGCGGTGCGGTTAGGCTGTTATTTTTGCGGTGCGATTTTGTTTTTTTGCATGTTGCAGTTATTAATCGTATGGATTTGGTACGGTTATTTTATGCGGTTTTTAACCATAGTTTAGAGCTCAAACAGTTTTAAAAGTTCAAACATATTACTTGTAATGATAAAAAAAAACATAAGGTATAAGACAATTAACTTAAACCACAAACAACTAATATATTAAAAACGTAAAATCAATAATAATTAACAATAAATATCTTAAAATTATCTAATTTCTCTATTTTTCAAAGTTAACCTTAACAAAAAAAATTAAAACTTTTGTCTTCTAGTATTTTATCCACAAAACTTGTCTTATTTTGAATATTTAATATATAAATAACTAAAAAAAATTGTATATAATAATATGCGGTGCGGTGCGGTTTTTTTGCGGGTTTTGAAAACTAGTAACCGTACCGCACCGCAAATTTGCGGTTTTTGAAAAACAGAAAACCTCACCATCGGTTTTTATTGCGGTTGCGGTTTATCGGTTTCGATTTTTGTTGTTAATTTTAGTTGCAGTGCGGTTTTTGCTCACCCCATTGAATAAATTTTTGTGTTGCATATCATTTTTTGAATAATTTTATCAAACAAAACGATATTAATTTGAACGTTTTACGATCATTGACCATTTTAAATGTTTTTCATTTAATTAATATCCTCATATTTGTCAAATAAAAATCAATATATTACAATACACAAAATTAGAATAAATACGATTAAATCTGAAGCATAAAGTTTGCTTTTATCTTCGCATCAACACTACCTATATAGTTACAAAATCTGAAAAAATATCATGAATACGAATTTAATATTCAATATTGTGAATTAGAAAAACAATTAGTCGAAAGATAATAAAGCTTTGAAGCTTAAATATAATATGTTTGCTTAATTGTACAAAAATGAAACTTAAAAAAAGTATTTAGTTGAATAAAAGTGACTGGTATTATTGATAAAAAACAATTCACTCTAAGTTGTTTGTTAATATTTAATCTCACGAGACATTTTGTCTTTTGTTTTATTACAGTGGATCATCCGATTCTGATTATTCAATATCAGATAATCACTTTCGAAATACACATCCAAAACACCCTTGTATATCACTTATTAATTAAAAGTTACACCTGAAATAAATTCACGCCACTACAAATAGTAAAGTTTATTCTTTGAATCTTGATGATCAAAGATGTTACAAAAAGTCGAATTGGAATACTAAATTTTGCTTTTATAAGCTAACACTCTCTAACATGCAACAATCTAGACGCTTTCTACAAACTCATCTTCGTGCTATTGGCGTCTCCATTTTCCTGCTCAATGATCTCATTTAAAGCAGTTCTCGACTCTTCAATCGGTTCACTTTCCTTTTTCAGCTCTGTTTCAAACTCTTTTGCTGCCTGCAAATGTCGAGATAAATAATTAAAAAAATTAATTTAAGAAGTTCACGTCACATTTGGGGGAAATTGAATGAAAAAATTAATGTCAGCAAACTCATATCCTGCAAACTAGATCTACTTTATCGTTAAGTTTTGATGTATGATTTTGGATCGAGCTTCTTTATCACTAAACATATCAGCTCAAATCAGGCTTCTTAAACCCAAATTTTTTTTAAAAAAAAAACCGACAAATAATTTACATCTTGAAGATAGGAAGGTAGAACTTCATATGGCAGTCATATTGATTGACATATTATCTATGCGTTCTGAGAGAGCCAATCGAATCAAATAGCATGAACATGAAGCTTATCTTAACCAAACTAATAATTAAAAAGTGAAATCAAACCTGTTGGAAGCTCTTGAAGGTTTTTCCGATGCTACGACCAACCTCCGGCAGCTTCTTAGGGCCGAAAACAAGGGTGGCGACGCCAGCGATAACCACCAGCTCCGGCATACCAAGTCCGAACATGCAATTACAAGAAAAACCGCTTTTTTTGGTGTTGGCCGGAATGGATCTGTGTCGTTGGACGAGATTCAAGGGTTTGAATGTCGTGGTGAGGAAGGATGAATTCGAAGACGAAAATAGAGAGGTTGATGGTGTACGCTGAGGAGTTGTTGGCGTGTAGAGTGAGGTTAAACTTGAAGCAGTGGATGAAATCGCCATTTTCGGAGAAAATCGGTGGTAGTTGGATCAAAATTTACAGGAAACTGTGGGGAATTTTAAGTCTGCTGAAACTATGAGGAAAAAGGAGGTAGGTAGATGATGAGCTTCTTCATATTAGAATATTAAATTAAATTAAATTCATCATCATTTAATGTAAGAAATTATAAATATTATCCCAAACTATTTTTATTGAAACAATAGTTTTAAATATGTTTTTCGTTTTATCTGTTTAAGTCTATATAAATAACATATATAGAAAGACGAAAGTTACATGAATAGTCCCTTCGTATTGGGATAATTTACATACTTTGTCCTTAACTTTTTTTATCTAACTCCGGACTATCTTCATAGTATTGTTTTGTTTCGATTTTGGTCCCTAATATATGTAAAATGACTAAATTATCTTTAACAAATTTTATCATAAAACAAGGACATTGTATCACATGCATCCATCTACCTACATTATCTTTTTTTTTTTTTTGATAAATAAAAATTAAATTAAAAGAATGATGTCTCACCCCAAACATAATTACATAACTTCAAAAGTAATGATTTTTTTTGACCAAAATGAGGCATTAACGATTGTTTCCTTTCTATCCTTTCAAAAACTAATCTCTATACATCATTTGAGATTCTTGATTGAAAAATCTACTACACTCTCTCTCATAAACATCCTCAACAAATCTTCATTTTGTCATAAAGCCGTTAATGAAACAGCAGCTGAACGAAGCTTCACGCCATCATCCACCCATTTTGACTGTGGTGCAGTTGCTGCAGCAATAATTGTCTGCAAAACAAACAAATCATCCTTCTTGCAATAAAATAAATAAATAACCAATTATATAAGAAATAGCAACCTACTTTCACAGCTATAAATAGAAAGATTTTTCCTAATAGGAAAACTGAAAGTACAATGCTATAACTGGGTATATTTTTCAAAGCACAATGTCTTAATAGAAAAAATGAAAGCACAATGTCTTAATAGAAAAAATGAAAGTTCCGATACATGAATGGTCCCTATGGTTTAGGGTAATTTACGCATTTGGCCCCTAACTTATTTTTTTAACTCAGAAGGTCCCTATTATTTGTTTTTGTTATGCACTTGGTCCCTGCCTTACCTAAAAAGACTATTTTGCCCTTGATGTTTTAATTTGTTTAAATAAACACACCCCCAACCTCATCCCCTTCACCTTACCTTACCTACCCCAGCATTTTTCCCAATTTAAATAATAGTTTTTTTAAATAAGACAGGGACCAAACGCGTAACAAAAACAAGCAGGAGGGACCAAGTGCGTAACAAAAACAAACAGTAGGGACCTTCCGAATTAAAAAAATAAGTTAGGGACCAAACGCACAAATTACCCCAAACCATAGAGACCATTCGTGTAATTTACTCAAAATAAAGAGTGAAACATACTTTTCCACTATTGACTGCGGCTACTAACGCAACCCGCTGATCATCATTCCCAAATTCATAGAAATAATATGTCCTGAACAAAAACAATATCAATCATGTTTTTATTAGTTTTTTATTATTTTATTATAGGTTAAATGCAAATAATGTAAACATACTTTCCATATATTTGTGTGTTATAACATTCTATTTTCATCTCTCTCTATTACAACATATTTTAAAAATTTTACAATTTTTAACATTGAAAATTGCTTTGCTATATTTGGATAACCTTTTCAAAAGTATGATGTTGTAATAAGAGGAAATGAAAATATGATGCTATAATAAATAAATCAATGAAAGTACATTGCTATTTCTTGCATGTGACCCTTTCTTGTACCCCATATTATGGGGAAAGGAGTATGATACAAAATTATAAATGCAAAATATAACCTGTAACCTTCATCTTCCTTTATTTTTATGGCACGTGCTGAATATAAACTTGTCCCGCCTATCAAAAACCAATGAAAAATTGTAAATAAGAAATCACAAGATGCAAAATTTACATAAAATTTTAATAAGCATGACAAAATACTTTAAAAAAATTTGTATCACATAAGCTATTATTAAAATAACGATCCAATTCTTTTAAAAAGTTGTAAAGACTCAATTATGTCATGAACAACTTTTTACCCGTTTCTTAATTTGATACGTTCTTGAACTTTTACGTATTTGACCCGTTAACAATCCAATATAACCCAAATTAACCCATTTTCACATTAACAAATTGAAATTCCCCCCTCTAATCTATCCTCAAATTCAAATTTACCTGGAACAAAAATCTTTTTTGCTTCCTTCAAGGTCCCAAAATCAGAAACATCTTTGGCCTGAAACAGTATATATCAACTAACATTCAAAAAAGAACATTGTTGCAAAATTCATGGGACTAATAGGTACAAGGCATTGGTATAATTTAACCTTATATTTTATAACAAATGAAAGAAATAGCCATACTATTTCATGATGGAATTTCAGTGGTATAAGGTTGGATAGTGTGAATTTCCTTATAAACCAAACCAACTATGGATTTGATTTTCAACAAATGTAGCAAAAGGAAGGATCCAGATATCCAGCTTTATACCATTTAACATTCCAACATTGCATTGCATCTCTAAGATATTGAACTTTTTATTAAACACTAAAGCTTTTTAAGTCTCACAAACCTCTAAAAATGTGATCTTGAGTTGATTAGAAGGGCGGATGACAACACTTATAACTTCGGATCTGTATTAATTGCTAACCAAGTGAGACTGCATAATCATATGGTAACATTCACATTTAGTAGAAAACCAAAACCTCAATTTCACAAACAAATAAAGACATATTACTTAGGCATATAACTTTACAATCTATTTCTACTATAGATTGTGTTTACATATGATATGAATATGGTTCCATTTTGTTATCAAAGAGGATTTTGTATTCATATGTTGTGTAAGAAACAATACAATGAGGAGAGCTTTATAATACAATGGATGCAGAAAAAACAAGTTGATAGAGTAAGTCAAGAACACTGAGGCTTTATGTTCTAACTGTTATAAAAATTACTATTCATACAACATTTGATGTAATAGGGGAAAAGAAGCAGGGTTTAAGATAAGTAGATAGCATATGAACTATTAACACAAAACAATACAAAGATAAAACTTAAATTACAGTTTTACCCATCAGGTGTAGCAAACCGTGCTGCGAATGTCTTTGGTTTAGCTTTATCTCCATATAGAGATAAACCAGCATTATAGTCCTATGAAAACAAAACAGGAATAAAGTACCATTAATGTCATGAAAAAGATGCAGTTCGAAAAACTGAAGCTATCAGATAATCTTTTGAATAACCAAAACTACAAACTGTTAGAGTAAAGTTACTAAAATATAATTATTAATTCCTTATATAAGAAGAACTCTACAAATACAACACCGTGAAAAGTGATTATTACAACTTGATGATGCAACGACAACTTAATATCATAGATTAGTTTAAAAGCCCCCAACCTAACTCATAAACATTAAACAAACTTTAATTCTACATTGCAAGTATAATCACGAAAGCCTAAAGAAAAAATTAACGAAAACGATAACAAAATCTGACCTCTGGCTCCATAATATCCTCAAAATCAGGCGGGATCCTGATGGCGAATCCACTACCGAAGAATCGAAACCATGATTTAGTGCTGGTAAGGCCTGAAAGAATCGTGTTAGTAGCAGAAGAGGAAGTAGTTTGAGCTACGAGAATTTGAGGTTGAACAAGCGCTATTAAGGATGATACAGTGCAAATTGAAGCAAATGCTCTTCTGGAAGAGGAATGTTCAGAGATAGTGTTTGTTATACCATTAAAAGGGTTTAAAGAAGGTTTAGGGGGATGTGATTGTGAGGTCAAAGAGAGAAATCTGGCCATGAAAACTGGGGTTTTGAGAGGATCAGAGGAACGGCTCGTTCATCGTTAGAAGTGGCCATTAAAAAGGATAAGATCCCTTACGTCCTAAAACAAAATATGAACTTGTGATTAATTTTAGTATTTTTCTTTTGGTTAAAATAACACCGATTTTGTAAAAAAATATATATATTTAGAGTAACCAATATTTTCTTTTATTTTGCTTCATATTTAATTTTAGTATATTTTCCTTTTGTTTAAAATTAGTGGGATGTCTTTACAACGTGTTATTGTAGTCTTATATTTTTTTTACAAAATTTTTCTAATGTTCCGCTTGTATTGGAAACATTTTCTTAAATTTTAAATTAGAAAGGAACTATTTCTTTAGTTTTGTAAAACATATGGACAAATTATGGAATTTCGCTTTTGCCATGGACTATTTCTGTAATTTTATGAAAATAAGGAACATTTCTATAGTTTTTTGAAATACCTAGATCATTTATGTAAATTGATTAATAGGCAACACCATGTCTATAATTTTATGAACCATATAAATTGTTTCTCTAAATTTGTTATTAGAAGGGACCATTTATGTAATTGTTTCATAGGATCATTCCTATAAAAATAACTTTGAATAGAGATTTATTCTTGTAAATTATTAAATTATAAGGACCATTTTTGTAATTGGTTTAAGAGATATTTTTTTATTTTTCATTAAAACAACTCTCTACTTTTTTTTTTAATTCGGAATATCATATAGTATATTTTTATTTTGGTTTTGGCCTTTACTGATTTGAAATGACCACATTACTCTTATTGATATCTTTAATTATTTTTAATAAATTTTTTATTATTAAATCAAATTAAAAAAGCAGTAATAAAAAAAGAATATAGTTCCTTATCCCAATGGGCCCCTCGTGGTCATCCATGTGACCCTAAAATCCATTTATTTCATTCAATGGTGGTAGATATCCATCATCTTTCACCCTAAGGAAACCCTACACAAATGTCGAAATCTATAGAAAACCTCTCGACATCAGAATAAACGGCAAAAACTTTTGTTCAACTGATCGTCTTTAGATATCAATTCAGATAGCATTTTTTTCATCATATCAGGTTTAGTAGTAGCTCACAAGGATGGGTTAAAGGTTTCAAGCATATTCAAGATTCAATATATCGATTTCAATACTACCTCTCCCCACGCTCCATTTCCTTGTCGTTTTTCTAGTCAAACAAAGGGTCATCAACATACCCCCGAACACTAGACCGGAACCGATTTGCAAATTTGGATAGCATACCTTACATATGCTGGTTTACAGATCTCCGCTCCCATCGATTTGCAAATTTGGTCACCGATTCATGCCTACCTATGAATCCACCGCTACCCACTCCCGCCAAGAGCCTAAACCCTCCTGCCAGTGACCAACGGCTAAAGCAGTTCCAATTCTATGAGCCTATAAACCCAATTGACAACATTCTTCTTTCAAATCATTATTTTTTTTAGAAAACAAAATCAACACAAAACACATTTTATGATTCATAGGGTATCTGATTTCTGTTTTATTGGTTTCCTGGCAAGAACTCATACTTGATATGCAAATATGAGATTATGGGTGTGTTCAATGTGTTGTTTTCATCTCATTGTCAAAATAATTTATATTCTCATGTTGTTGTGGATGAAGGATGAAGGTAATTGTGTCGTACATAGGGAAGCAGGGCAGTAGAGGGGGTGATGGACGTTAGTGGCAGTAAAGGTGGAGTTTCAGCGGTGTTGATCCAATAAAGAGGGAAGAATGTTTGGGTTGCAATGTGAGGATTGTGACTCTGGTGACCTTCTTCCAGGTTGTAGCGTTGGCGGCCGGTAGGTGGCGGTAATTAAGGGTTTGATGTCGACCGAACAGAGCAAGGACAGAAAAAGATACATGGTTTGGGTTTGATGGGGGAAGAAAGGGTAATGGAATGGATAGGAGCTTGTGCGGGACATCAAAGATAATTACTATTTCTTTTGAATAACAAGTAATAAATAATAATAATAATATAATATATCATTAAGGGCGATATGGTTAATTTAAGTCGGTAAGGGACTAAAGACGCAACAAAAACATATCACAGTCACCTTCCAATTTAAAAAAATGTTAGGGACCAAACGTGTATATTACTCTAAACCATAAGGATCATTCGTGTAATTTACCCTTAAAACAATGACCATTTTATAAGTTTGGATATTTTGTAGATAATTGTTTGAGAGGAAATATCCTTTAAGAAGTTAGAGAATAGCCAAGTTTTAATAAACAAGTATTTAAAGTATTGAACATTTTCACATAAGTATTGACATGCATTTTCACATTCATGTTTAGTTTGATTCACATATAGATTGTCGATAGATGTCAATGAACAACGTGAATCTGATACATAATATAATTATGATATCATTTTTAATATATATATATATATATATATATATATATATATATATATATATAATTGTATATTTCATAAGAATTTTATAGTTTATGTAAATGACATAGTAATCTTCAATACATATATTTATAAAAAAATTGTGTACATAATTTTAATACGTGCAATGCAAGGACATTCACCTAGTATCTATTTTTCTTTAATCATATTCATTTAAAACTCCATAAGTTTTCAACTTAACTACAACTCAAAAGGATTTTAAAGAATGATTTTAATCTGGTAAGTTTAAAAAGGATTTTACTTTGTTGGTGCCTATTTATGCCATGCCTAAAGATCTTACAATCCTTACTTATTCTTATGTTATGGCTACTCAAAGGTGCATAGATGCACAAGTTTACGTTAAGTTAACTTGGTGTTGGTGTATTGAAGATTCGTTTTTTGCCCGTTCTCTCATTGTAATCTCTTATGTATATGTACCAATGCCATGAGGTTTGGTTGGTTCAAGACATTTGCAAATAGAGTTGGATGAACCCATTGTTATTTGTTGTTTAGTTATTTATATGTATCAAGGTGTTTTGTTCGTTATCTCATTGTAATCTCTTATTTATATCTATCAATGCCATGGAGTTTGGTTGGTTCTCTCATTGTAATCTCTATATGTATCAACGTCATGGAGTTATGTTGGTTATGTAACATCCCAATTTCAGGTATTTTTATTATTGTTTTATCTTTATCAAAAGTTGCACAATTGGTCCCTTAATGAAAATGCTTGTATTTTGTGGTCATACGCAAGTCGTACTTAAAGAGTACGCACGACATACTCGCGCAACATGGAATCGCAGATGATTCGCTAGTATGTTGGTCGTACATATGGTACGTCAAGCGTACTAGCCCAGACTCTAAACCCTAATCTTAAGGGTTGCTCCCAATTTAAACAACATTATATCCCCCATTTGATCATCCTTATGTATGTAACGACCAAAATTTTCAACAAAATTTAACTTTTCAAAAACAACTCATTTTAATCATGTTATTACAAAAAGGTTTTCAATACATTTATTATCACAGTATTCCCAGAAACATAAACACGAGGAGCGGTACGATCACGCCTTCGCCTTGCCACGGTCTTCTGAAGAACCTGAAAAACATTAAACCACAACTGTAAGCCCGAAAGCTTAGTGAGATACCCCCAAAATACCAACCACATATACCATACACATATAACATGTCATATCGAAACCGATCACAGAACAGCCATGCATATCGGGTCTACTGTGTGACTGGTCTGCGGTATCGGGCCTTAAGTCCACCGGGTCCACCCTCCGAGTCTAGTCATGTCCCTCGAGTCTGCAGTGCGGTTGGTCCGCCCACACCGGGCCTTCAACCCACCTGGTCCACTCTCTGAGTATACAGTATAACTGGTCCACCCGCATCGGGCCTTCAGTCGGCATGGTCCACTCTCCAAGCCTCGGCACGTCTAGTCCGCCCTCGTGGGGCCTACAGCCTATCCGGACCGCTTGCTGGGCCTTCGGAACAACCGGTCCGCCCTGGGTATCTTGGCCTACAACACAAAGCAGGACCCGCCTCAACCCAACTCCATTCCAAACAACCATGTGCACATAAACATACAATCATATAATAGTTCACAGTCAACAAGCCGATCATACAGATCACATAACATATCATCATCCTAACGAGGATACCGACCTAACCGGTCACTAGCATATACCATCCTAACTACCAGGATGCAAACATATCAAAGCAATAGCATAACAACAAATACCCGGATCTCAATCCGATAAAGGGCCGACCTTGGTGCCTTAGACCTTGTTGATATAGTGAGGATAACTCACCTCGCGATTGCCGATACTCTGAACTGAAGAAGCAGATTCTCAAATCACCAACTCACCGCAAATCCCGAACTAGCCCACATAGCACAAATACCCATTAGGCCAAGAATATATTCACTTATCGGGCCAAGGTCAAAGTCCAAATCTTACACAAAGTCCAATATTGGCCCAATTTACCAAATTGGGCCCACCTCACCAAATGGGCCTAGATCTAATGTCCATAACAATAATTCGGCCCAAAATACTCTATCCAAAATTTCCAGTCATGGCCCATAAACCAACAGCCCACAAATGGCCCAAACTCTAAGGCCCAACATTAAAATCCAATCAGGGGAAGTACGTTGGGCATACCCTCCTTGGTACGCGGGGCGTACACGTTGAATCACAGCTGGAGATCAGGGCATTGGCCCGCTACGCGAGGCGTACTCAAGTGCTACACGGGGCGTAACCCTGCCACTCATTAAGTCCTTATAACTTCTTATTGGCTTAAGCTCTTAAGCCTAAACTTCAGATCCCTAGGCCAAATATGCCTAAGATTCATAAAGTCTCAAACTTTATCACTTGGGACGTCCATAAAGCTCTTAATCCAAGGTCTTAACCCATTAAGACCTACATATCTCACACATGGAACAACCACAACCCTTGGGACCTCATTTTTCTCACTCAAGACCTCTCCAAAGATTTGAAAGGACAGATAATCTCGGCCAACACAAAGCATGAATTGATTCAGGACTTTTGGGACAAGAAAGATGCTAA